CATAATATTATTAATAATAGAGTAAAATTACTAATAAAATTATTTAAAAATTTGCTATTTATAGTTATACATTACTAATTGGAGAACACACATATGTGGGTACGACGGCTCTTCAACGAATTTCGTGCATTAAGTTAAGAAGTTAATAATAAAACAAATAGGCGAGAAATAGGTATGTTAATTAATTACTTTTATAAATATCACTATTTTTAATTAAGTAGAAACGGTTTCTCAGTAACATTCAAATAATCATAGATAAATATATAATCATTATTCATTAATTTACACTGTATTAGGTAATTGATTTAAAATTATTCACGTTATTGGTAATTTGTTAAAACATGAGTTTTATCAATACGACCTGCATGCATTATAGTGTAGGTTTATACTATACACTGTATATCTACATGTTTATAGTATAGCATATATTATATGTAAGCGGGTAATTTAGTTTTTCTCAAGAGATACATATTTCATATAGGTACACATATAAAACGTCGATTATCACAAATCTTGTATAGATCATATTTTAATTATGTTTGTCATAACATACGAGTATTACATCTGATTTAAATGATGGTGTAAAACATTTAATTTAGATTCGTAAATACAACTTTTAGGCCTGCATGTAATGCATTTCACTTTAGTATTATATAGGTACACTCTGTATGCACACACACACATATAAATAATATAAATAAATTGGGAACATGAATTCCAATTAGAAGACTATAGTTCAAACCGATAACGGCTGACGTTTTTTTTATTAACACGGCATAGCGGCGTTTGTAGTAAACAACAAATGTTCCTATCCGTGTTGGTATACATAAATATATTTATAAATATTATTAACTACTTAGTACTAATATATATATATATATATATAGTGTGTTATAGGTGGTTTAATTAGAGACGGCGCAGCCTTTGTGCATTACAAAACATTGATAAAAATAAAAAATAAAACGAGCAGCAGCGCACCCGTGGAGAGCTTACAAACATTTTATTTTATTTTTTAATTAATAAGGTCATTTTTATGCAGTAGCTGATATTATTATAATGGTATAATAAGTTGGTTTTTTTTATTTTAACAATCGTCGTTATCTGCGTTAGTCTATCGCGACGGTGGCTGTGCCGTTGGCGCCACACATGGAACCCGCGTCACTACAACCACTGCAGTCTACTTACAGTTGTGCCCAGTACCCATAAGTATATATATACTGCAGTTATATTATTATAATGCGCATCGACGGCGGTAAAAATACTTATTTTGACGAAACAGACTAACTACACGATGAGCATTTATGTATACATATATATTATATATATACGAAGAAGACAGTAATAGCGATGGAGGTATAGGAGCTGAGGAGTTACCTACCTATTTATATATATAATACATAAATATACATACATACATACATATATATATATATATATATAAACCTACCTTATATATGCGTCACGACGACGAAGACCGTGGCGCCGCGCGCGCACAATATCCGATTTCATCTGCTGCTGCGCCCATTGTTGTCGTCGATTATAATAATACATACACACAGGTATAAATATATATATATATATATTTATATATTATACGTATATGCTTGCACAAATAAAGGGAATAGGTACACTCCCGGCGGGTTTTCGCGCGATAATCTGTCCCAGTGTCCGCGTGCATTGTTTCAATTGTCGGTGCGTTAGCCGATGGACCAATAAAGGTGGACGTTAGATTAAGTTAGGTTAGAACATTATAGCCGTATTTAGAACAAATTTGAAATCTCTTTAGTGTCCCAGCCTGACATTTGCTCAGTAAGCAAGCTCCAAATACTAAATGAGTATGATATATATGAGTACTATATATAAGTATATCTATAATAGGAACTATTTATACCTATATGGTTATATTTATAATATTAATGACATACTTCGAATAAGTGCAAATTTATATTTCAAAACAATTTTAAAACTATATATTATTATATCCTACACCTGTCTTATATACAATAGTGTTTAAAAAAAATTAGGTTTTATTACAATAACCTAAAAACTATATTTATATTAAATCAGTAATTGAAAACTAATTTCAAATAAATAAAAAGTGAGTTAAATATTTTGTTTTGAAAAATATAAAAACTTTTTTAATAAATCTACAATAGTTATATTTATTGCTATAATAGTTGTTCTGTTTTTTTTTTTTTTTTAAACAAAGGGTGTCTGAAACTTGTAAATACTAAATAGTGCATTATAATCACTATGATTACAGTTTAATACCTATATCTATAAATATTATATATTATTTCAAGTTAAATCATTCAATTTTTTGATTATTTATCACGTCTTAAATATTAATGAAATCACAATATATTTTAATGTATGCAATATTATATAAGTACTATGTTAAACGCAGCGCTGAGTTTTCGAAAACACTATTATAAATTATCGACTAGGTACTTTGATGTGGATAAATAACGAGTAGTTTATTTATCGAGTTAATAAATACATCGATTAGGGTGGGTTGCCTGTTTGTATTAATAATAACGCTTGTCAACCTCCGACTATCGTTAGGAAAACATCGCACTCTCTAAAAGTCACTTATAACATTTTTTACATTGTTGTTACAAGTTATATAGATTAAAAATAGGTACCTATAACATTTTAATCGTCCCTATTTTAATCACTGTTGATATTATCATTATTTAATTTAATTAACATATTCTATACCTATCCTTGCTAATACATTATAATTTTTAAAGCTCAGGACTTCATTTATTCAACTCGCACTATCCCTCTCTCTCATATAAATACGATAAAACTACCTCGAATTAAAAATATAAAAAGTCTTTTCAACTCACCCTCGTAACAAACCGATGTAATGCATATAACATACTAACAATGAATGGAGTTTGATAACTTAACAACACACGTGCGTCCTCATAGATACACATTTTATTATATTACATATAGCAGGGGCAGCCAAACAGTCGATCACAATCGACCGGTCGATCGCAAACGATTTCAAATTCGATCGTGTTAGAATTTATTTTTAGGCTACGCACACGAAAATTAATCATAGTGATATAGTAACTTAATAATAAAACTTTTTTTAGAAATCGATCCTAAAAGGTGAAGTATATTTTTAGTAGATCGTGGCCAAAAAAAGTTTGGCAGTCCCCGACATATTATAGGATTGAACATTATTTATACATAATACTTGTAACTTCATTAAATATACATATTACTTGTATAGGTTAGGTTAGTTATATCAATACATAAATCAATGATAACGATTGACTAGTTAAAGGCTTTTAACGAATATAAATTAAGAAACAGTAATCTATATATTATTATAAAGTAGTTCGTAAAAGTACCTATATATTTCATTTAGTTTTAAGTTTTAATTGATAATTAATAAGTAATAACGGTTTTGATTTTATAAAAGTTAAAATATAAACTTATTTTTATGATAAGTAGATCAAATAAAAATAAAATATAATTTTCTATGGTATATAACACATCAAACAAATAGAACATAAAATAAATATCTAAAAAAAATTAAGCAAACTATAACCATCAATAAACCTAATACTAATTAAGCTTTTTTTGTTTAAGCAATGTGTTATAATGTAATTAACAAAGTTTTAATATCGAGTCACCTTACGACAACCTTGTGAGATAACATTTTTTTGATATCAAATAAGAAATAACAAATTATTCATAATCAATAAGTACATTGATATTAAACACCAATTATTATACATTACTAAATTAATGATCAAATTTGTATTTTTATTAGTCTGTACACTATTTTAATATTATCATTATTTATTGTTTTTTATTATTTATAATTATAGGTACTTAACTTATTTAATAATTAAGTCCATTAAAAGACAATTTTATATTAAAAATTTTCAATACACAGGTGTATTGCTTATTATAATATAGTACCTATAATATGTTTCTATATTTTAAAGCTTTACACGTTGTACCCATGTATACTAAACTTTGTATACAATATTGTTAAATTTATAGGCTACAATAATCAATCCATTTAGGATTTGAGATATATAATACCTTTGGACTTTTTTTTATTATTTTATAGATTCCGACATTCTGTAAATATTATGCGTACTAGATATTATTTGTTTTTATTCGTGATTATAGCTTCTTAATAGATTTGATAAAATAATGTAGAAGCAGTATATTATATAAGATGTTCTTCTGTGATCAGAAATATTTTAAATAAACTAATTTAATTAATACATTAGATCCAAAGGTATATACAATCGAATATTAAAAAATCATAAATATTGTATGTAAATATTATTTAATCTTCAAACAATAAGTAGGTAGGTATTGAGTAGTAAGTATAATTCAATACTCAATAAATAACTTATTAAAAGCTCTAAATTTAAAATCACATAAAAAAAAAAAAAATCAGAATAGTAACATTACATGTATCTTATTTAAACGACAGAATTTGCCGTAAAAATATTTATAAATTTAAATTGAAAAATTATTAAATGTATGAAAATAGATCAATTTTACTTTTACCATAATATGCCAAACTAAAATAAATATTTTGAATGTTTTGCTGTTCGAATCTAATATTAGAAACTATTACCTACTTGGTAAATCATAATTGCCTGAATTAAAAATAGAAGATTAATTTAATAATATTACATTAGTTAAATAAAAAAATATATAAATAGAATTATTAACGTATTTATATTTTGGTTTTACCTACTGGTATAAGAAATTATAATAATAATTTAAGGCAGGGACGGTTTAGACACAAATATTTTATATTGTATTGTTCACAAAGACACGTGAAACGATTATGATCTTAAAAACGTGAGATAAATTTAAGTGCACATATTATTGGGAAAACATATCATGCGTACTATGGAGAATAATTATAAGAATAAAAATTGAAAAACTATAATAATATTATTATTATTTATTATGACCATTATATATAAGGTATATTTTGTGTCTCTTACCTGTTGTCCGGGGGTTGGATACGCGTAACCGAACTGAGAATAAGCCGACATGGTAACCATTTGTGTTGAGTTGTATTTGTACCGGTTTGTGCAAATAACGCGTATAGGTACGGTACTTCTACAAGCAATTCGGAAGTATAATGTTTTATTATACTGTTTTCGCACGCGAACTTGAACCGAGTGGCGTCCGTAAGGAGCAAATATAAATTATTACCGGCGGGCCGAGTGGTAGGTACTTGGAAATCGATCAAAATAGATAAAAAAAAAAAACGACGTGCGAAAACGGATTTGAAAAATTAAACACGGTTCGTTATCTGATCTCCATCGTGGGCGAGAGGGTGGAAAAAAATTCCGAAATCAAGCAATGTCACGACGACGACGACAACTACCCTCTCCGGCGCGGACGAAGGGTGAGCGCGGGGTTGTATACGCGACAATATTATAATGGTACACTGATGGTGATGATGTGTGTATGTGTGCGTGTACGCGACAGAGAGTGTGAGTGTGGCGGCGGGCGCACGCTCGATGGGACACGCACGGTACGGTCTCTGGACGGCGACTGAACGACGGTTGCGGCGGCGGTGACGACGGACCGCCACTCGGCCATCCCCACTCCGCACTCCACGATCCGTCTAGCGACCCGCCCACCGGAGCCCGCGTGGACGTGGCTCGCGCCGGCCAATGGCTGAGCCGCGACCGCCCGCACCCCCACGCTACCCCGATCACGATCACCAACGCCACAATGTTTGCGGTGTAGTTTTATTATTGTGTGTGTGCGAGTGTGTGTGTTTTTTTTTTTTCTGTATAATATACTTTTTTCCGATTTTATTTTATTGAAACACGGACGGACGTCGTCGAGTGCACGCGCCGTCCAAGTCGAACGGCGGCGACGATCATCGCCAATAAATAAATTTGACAAACGCTTATAAAATTTAAATAGGTATAATATAGGTAGGTATACACATCACGCATTAGACCCGTATACCTACATCATGTATTGTAAAAAAAAAAAAAAAACCGCCACCGACGAAGAAAATTTTCTCAAATGTTTGTCTGCGCACGGCTATATTTTATGTTATATTATTTTTAATACATTTTACAAATATATTGGCGTTAATTCCTATATATATATATATACGTAATAAATAAAACCATTTACTTATAGAAACGACTTGGTGTTTATAAACGTATTCTATATATATAAATTATTATCTGTTTAATGTTTCCAATATATTAATCTCTCCCACTCGCGGCAGTCTACCTGCATAATACACATACGTTTAAGTATAGGTATATATATATATAGCTATTCGATCGGTGGAAATTTATATTATTGCGTACCTCCTATACTTGCACGCTGTGTGTTTATATATATATATATATATACTCAATGAGCTGCACGACGACTACTATTTAATAATATATATAGGTACATAATATATCTGTCGGCAAACGGTCGGGAAATTCCTTTGATCAGTGTGCAGGTATGTATATATATATATATATATATATATATATATAATATGGATATATGTGGTGTACACCGTAGAGACTGCTGCAGACTTGTGGGTGGGTGGTGGCGGTAAAGGTGGACTGATGAAGGTTCGCAAGGGGTTGTGAGGAGGAGAATACGAAGACTTTAGAGGAAATTATTATATTGTCAGACTCGCGTATTTATCGCAACCGACGTCTCCTTGTTGTCTTTATATATAGCCCGTATATAGTTGTATACGTGTATTATAGACATATATATATATAATATAATGTTATTGCTGCCTATTAGGTAATATTTATTTATAAATAAATATATATATATGTATGTATATAATATTATGGTTGATACATTATAAATTATTGGAACCGGACTCTTCGAATGATGCGCATAAATTAAACTTTTCCAAAGACGAAAAAAATATCTATTATACATAACAAAAATATACATATTTATCTATACATATACATATATGTATATTTTTTATCTAATATAGCTAAGATATAACGATCAGTATGATATAGTATATAATTGATATTTGATTTGTAACTAATTTTATATTTAAAAATATAATATATATGAGAACAGTTTTAAATCCTGCCATGAAAGATATAACTGTACCCACTATTTTCTATTGTGGGTATAATTATAACATTTTAGTTTTTTTTAACCGGAAAAATACGTAGACACATCGAAAACCATCATCTGAATATAAATAGATACCTAATTGTATGTATATATAAATATATAATATATATTAGGTACCTAAAACTGCATAAATAGCTGGAAAATATTTATAGATCTATTAATACGTCTGATTCTATCCATTATGATATTTAAGCGTACAAAATAAGGTTCATATATAAAACTTCTTTTTTTTTCTAATATTTTAATGACAAAATAGATTTAGAATCGCATTTATATATTTACTCAACTAAGTAGTAATTACTGCAATATATAAAAATGATAAATATTGTGTTTTTATTTAATTTATACACATTTATAAATTGTATATATTACAGTGTCCTCAGGTATATATTTAATGTTATAAATTTGTAATTGGAGTTGTATCCATAATAAATACTCTTATTATTATCGTATAGTTTATAATATGTTTATAATTAAATTATATTAAAAGAAATTCACAATATAACTACTGCTACTCCCGTAGTCGCGTATGATATGTAACCAAGTATAATAATCCGTACTATTAGTACATAATAGGTATAGTTTTTTCATATTTTTTTGTCCAATGTTTAAAAACACTATAGGTACATTTTATTTATTATTTTGTATTTCATATAAATATTATCTTTCATAAAATTTTGTACACACCTGTCTATTATTATTATAAATAATTAATATAGAATATACTAATCAGAGTATATTTTAAATGTGTATTTTTTGCCGTAAAGAAGAATATTACATATTATTTTGAGTTTTTAAGTGCCTACAATAGAAAACCTCTGCAGCTCTTAAAATACGAAATATGTGTAGTATGTATGCTATACTATTAAGGCATCATAATTATAAGCAACCTATTAAGTTATTTAATGATGATTTCGCAGAATATTATAAATACCTATATTAAGTAAACATAAAATAACTATAAATATTATAATAGTAGTATAATATATTTATATTACTTCAGTGTAGCTGTTAATAATGTGTATAATATGTAATAACACTAATAACCTATTATTATATTAACTATTAATATGCCTGTAAATTGTATATTATAATTTGTTTAATAATAATAAGTAATACCTAACACTAATAACCTTTTGATATAAATATGAAATAAGAAACTTAATCAAATTCTGTCTATTTTTCATAATTTTATGTGAAAAACCAAAATTCTTATTATCCAAGTATTATAATATATTAAAATAATATCCATAATAAGTTAAATTTATTTTTGTAGTAATTAAATTACTTAAAATAGGAGGTTAAATCTTCATCCTCGGAATAATTATCATTCATTTCTGAAAATATTTATAATAGAAATAATATATTATGCACCTAGGTTTAACTTATAATAACTATTATAACTTATAAGTGGATATTATTGAAATTATCTATAGATAATATACATCTAAGATTAATACAATATATTAAATATTATAATGTATCTGTATAATATACAACTTATAAGTACGCACTAATATAGTGCATAATAATGTGGTATATGTACCTAAATCCAAATAATATTGGTATAATTATTCGTGAAATTAAAATGAAAATTATATCGAAGGATATTTAATTATTTTTTGTAATAACAATAATTTATAATATCTTTATTTTGTCTCGTTTATTTAGGTATTCATTCGTTGAAAGTTTTTGACTCGATGAGGTGACTAATTTATATTCTATTATAATTTTAGTATATATTTTGACATTTAAATTCATATAATAAATATGTACATATTTAAACATGGTTTTTGTAATAATGCTAATTTTTATCAGAAACATGATTAAGTTCGTTTGCATAATTGCATAGTTACATTCTTAATATAACACTGCAGAATATGATATACACGAATAAATTTATGATAATAAAATCTAGATAGTAGGTATAATAGAATCAAGTTAAGTATTTCATTGGCTACCTATATAACAGTTATATACTTTATTATAATTACATTTTTTGTATTTAATATCAACTAACTATATTGTATGTCTATTTATCGACCAGTACAAACCAATGATACAGCTGTATTATAAAATATAAATATAATATTTATATAATACGGTCAGATTGTACAATTATCTAGATTAAAAATAAAAAAAATAATATACGGACATAAATTTAGAAATCTGAAATGGGAAAAGTGGGCTAAATTTTTTCAGAAAAATACAATATTATAATTTTAGAAAAAAAATTCATTTATTTTTATTAACGACGAATTATTTCTTAATCAATCTTCAACACGCATCTTTATTGCGTTTGTCTTACTAATCTATGAATCACTTCGTCAATATTAATAGGTAAAACTGTCTATAGAAAGGATAACTAAATCACTTAGGTTTCCTGGATTTGTGCCTATTATATACATATTCGTTCTTACGTATGTCAAATATTATTATGAACGCATCGAACATTATTATCTAAAACGACCATATAAACACTGCAGGTGTGTTAATCATTTAGAAATATAGTTCACTAAAACGGAATCCATTTGTTAATAATATAAATATAACAACACTCATTGTGTATATCGTAATAATTTATGTGCACAATCTATACTAATAAGCAATATGAGTATATAATATATATTAATACATAAACATCATTATCGTGGTGGTATTTTTGGAGTAAAAAGGATACGGTTGTAAGCATTTTTCCCGCCGTTAACATATAACGCATAACGCGTATATTAAAACCGACTTTACTCTAATATCGACAAGGGAAAATCCGCCGTACATGCTATTGTGTAAAAGGCTTTTATTGTGTTACACTTAATTTTTTTTTTTTTTTTAACGCATCTGAAATGCGTGTCTTCTTTTACAACAATGGAATACAACTTTTATTGGACATCATCAAACCTGCACGATGCTATGGCATAAAAAATTGCGTGTTTAAAAGAATTTTTGAACTCCTCGTGGAGCCATTTAATAAAGCGTATACCTACTTATATTAATACTTGTATCTACTTCGATACTACTGATACCAGTCCGCAATATATATATAGTCCATCGCGCCGTCACGAGATGTGCAATGTAGGTACGTAAATATGTTTGTTTATCTACTACCATACAAAAAATTCGAACAAACGTACTCATATCATAAAAAATATTATGGCTGTAGTATAGAAGTCATGTACATCACACGCACATTTCCAACACACGATGATGTAGGTTTAAATTATATTTTTATATAATATTTTGTAGTTATGAACGCATTTATAGTGGAAACATATTAAACATGATGCTTGCGACAATACGTAAGTATGTAAGTATTCAATGGTTTTGATAAACTATCGGATCATATGTTCATAATTATTAATGATTAATATTAGTTAAATATATTATAGAGTGGGTATAAGTATACTGTAT